ACACGTCCCGCGTGGTGGTGTGCGCGGAGCATTAATTGAACAAACCCTAGACCCCAAACCCCAAACCCTAAACCCTAAACCCTAGGCCCTAAACCCTAGACCCTATAAGCCCTATAAACCCTATAGTTATAAGGCCTCGAATGAGCGCCAGGGGGCGCCATCTCCCGAGGCGTCGAAGGAGCGGACCAAGGAGTTCAAGGTGCCCTCTTCTTGGCGAGACCTGGGGGTTTAGGGTTTAGGGTTTAGGGTTTAGGGTGTGAGGGTATCCTATATAGAATTTAATATAGGGGCCTTCATAAACAGAATACATAGGGTTTTGGGGTATAATATGCTATACTTATGATAGGGAGGCCCCCAAAAATAGTATAGGTAATTATTTAGGGCCCTATAGTAGACCCTAAACCCTAAACCCCCAGAACCATTCTGTAGGTGCTTCGGGTCCAGTGTCGCACTCGACCCCTGCACCCGGTGTTTCATCGCCTTTTGTAGGGTTTAGGAGCGGATGCCATAAGGGTTTCGTAGGGTGTCATCAGGGTAATGTAGGGGCCTTTCGGGGTATATTATACTATATTTATAATAAGGAACCCGTACAGGTAATTATTAAGGCCCCTGTATTATAGCGGTGTTTGAACGGCTCCAGGTGTTGAGAGACTTCGCTCTTGCGGCCGATGTCTTCTTGCAGGGCTCGACCAAACTTCGCTTCCGGATTAAAAGCAGCCCAAAGAGAGCGGTCCCAATTAAACCTCTACCGTACTACCCCAAATTCCTAATCCCTGAACTACCCTTAGTCCTGATACCAAACCCTACATTTCCTGCCAAGCCTCTGCTTCGAACGCAATAGATCTGGCACCCCAAGCCCTAAACCCTTAACCCTGCATGAAGAAGCCCCGTAGCCTAGAGTTTTAGGCTCTGGGGTTTTGAGGGTTTCGGCTCGGGGGTTGCCATTTTTTTACGCCTTGGGTTGAGTACTTACTAAAGAAAACCCACACACGCCCTAGACTCCTAGACCTTCTCTCTCAACCCGCAGCGAGGAGTCTAAAGGGAATGTCGCTGACACGTTTAGTCACATAAGCATAACCCAAAGGGTCCAAAGTACAGTACCTATATGGTAGAATGTAGGCTTTCCATACGATTTGGGAACGTATCCCCCATAACAGTAATATAGGTGCCTTAATAACTAGAATAGGGTTTTGGGGCCCATCATACTATTACTATAATAAGGAGCCCCAAAATAGTACCCTAAACCCTAAACCCTAAACCCTATTGTTACTTATTTAGGCTTCTATATTACCTAGGACCCTGTGGGTAAGGCTCTAGTGTCGAAGCTTGCAGGCCCCAGCGCTAAAGAAAGTTCTTGCTAGAGGTAATCCTTGGCACCCTTCGGAGAAATATCTGTATATATATATATATATATTCTATATATATATATATATATACATATACATATATAGTATATATATATATATATGCATCATAATATGTACATATATACACCTACACATATTTGCAACCTATCCATACACAGATCGACAGAAAGATAGATAGATAGATAGATAGATAGACAGATAGATAGATAGATAGATAGATATACCGATAGACAGATGTAGGTAGGGCTGAAGGATTGCACCCAACGCCCGAAAGCTTGACTGTGGTCAGACAAAGGTCTGAAGCATGCGTTCCAGCTCTGCAACTTCGATGTACCCCCGATGCTGCAGATCTAGTCGTTCGAAATCCTGAGGAAGCTTTCTTTTCAAAAACTCTCACGGATCTTGTCGTTCGAAATCCCCGGGAAGTGCCCGGCTTTTCGTGGAATCAAGTGCGCGCTGTAAGAGTGTCTTAAAAAATATAGAAGCCTGAATTCCTTCGGGTTCCTGTGGCATCTGAAATTTTACCCCCGGGCACGGAGTTACTCAGGCCCTCGTATTGGGCTGTTGAGTCTGGTTGCAGCTGAAGGGATCATGCCGGCTGGCAATGCTGCTAGCATCCACAAGCATCAAGCAAGTAACCAGTTTTGCGGGGTTCAAGGCTTACGGTGTTGGCCTCCACCCCTCTCTCTCTCTCTCTCTGTCTGTCTCTTCAGATTTGTTTTTGACCGTCCCTCGTCACAGCCTGCATAAGTCACAAAACCACACGCGTGCCCCTTGAAAAGCGGTCCTTGATAATGTTCTCCAGCTCCGCCTGAGGGATCACCGGCTGGCTGCTATAGACCTCACGGGCTCATAGATCCTTCAATGAAGCCATACCTCCAAGAAAATGGTATCTCCAGGCTGGACGGACAACAAAGACATGTAACCAATGCTTTAGCTATTCCGAGCGCCCGAGCCTGCCTGGATGCAATCTTGGGCCTGAACAGTCGCGTCATTTTCTTTATACTTCAATTCCTTATTTTTCATAATTTTCGTATGCTAGAGGACACCCAAAAAAATCCTGTTCTGATTGTTCAGGACCCTTGGCTTAATTACTTAATCACTCAGCCCGCTGGAACATCCACAACATCCCGCAATAGCACGATTGTGTTTATGCATTCATGCACGAGGGTTTGGCGGCGGTATCAGGCCCCAAACCCGAAAACCTAAACCCTAAACCCTTATCAAGGCCCCTATGTGTTTCCTCGCCACACCCCTAAACCCCAACCCCAAAGCCTCTATACCCTAAAACCTAAAATACCCTCATTCAAGCCCACCTTCATGCACCGCTGGAAGTCGGCCAAGTCGCTCTTGTCCTCTGCTGCTCTGGCTTTGAAGGCAAGAGCTAGGCTTCCGGGTTTAGGGTTTAGGGGTTTGGGGTTTTATGGCCTAAACCCTAAGCCCTAAACCCTAAACCCTAAACCCTCTAGTGTTTCAAGGTTCCGGGCTTAGTAAGCCCTGAGGGTTATAGTTCAGAGTTCGGCTCTCAAGGCATCGAATTCGGACGTGGACGTGATGTTTGGCCTCGCTTGCGCCTGATGTCTTCACCTTGGGGGGCCTTTCAACAACTATGTGCTTAGGAAGACTGCTATAGAGCTTACCTTGCCACAGCTGGAATGCACCCTAAACCCTAAACCCTAAACCCTAAACCCTAAACCCTAAACCCTAAGCCAGACTGTGTTAGGGCTAAGGACTTAGAGTTTTAGCTTCTGACCAGGGTTTCGAGGCAGGGTGCACACGGGCTCTATAACAGCCGCCTAGGGCATCGGTAGAAATTTTTAAAATTTCAGTAAACTTATGCAACCTTATATATTCTTATGTGTATATATATATATAATATTTATTTATTTATATTCTTATGGTTATGGAACATCATACTTGTCAGCAGCAGCGACAACCCAAGCTTTCGTTTCTTCTATCACGCAGGATGCCTGGTCTTCGTCATGAAGGCACAGATGACGAAGGCCCTCTACGAGCCCCTTCTAGTGACCAAGGCCCCGACATGGTGCGCCTTGAGGACAGACCCCAAGCCTGAATCTCAAACCTCCATTTCACACATATCCCGCCCTTAAGCAGCGAAGAAGGCAGAATGTTTAGACACGTCCCACCCTGAAGGCCTACACCCCGAACCCCAAAGCTTAAACCTAAACCCTCAACCATGTGCAATACAGCTTGAAAATCAAAGGAACAGAGCGAAGCTGCACTTTCTTGTTCTGCAGATCGTCATACTGTTGGCACCACCTGTTAAAGGTTTGGAGTTTAGGGTTTTGGGTTGAAGCTTTAAGTTGCACATGTTAGGGCTGTTAGGGTATAGGGTTTAGGCGTAGGTGCTTGCTCTGGGGGTGGGAGTTTGGGTCTAAGGAATCACTCTGAAGTAGACAAAAACGCCCCTCCACTCCCAAAATGGCACCCTGACACCAAAACCCTGCAGTCAAACATGGCCTGTCGAACATCCGCAGGTGCTTGGGCATGGCCCACGGATAGAGTAGCTTCAGGAAGCGCATGAACCTCTGCACGGCCCTGACCCTTTAGCCCTTGCTTGACCTTCTGAAATTCGCAAGCCCTGAATCCTATAGCCCTCAGCGCATCGAAGCCGTTAAGAGGAGGAGCGTGGGAGGTCCTAGTCTTAGACACCCATGACCCACAGCCTGAGAACCAGAAAAGCCAATCGAAATCCGTCTAGCATGGCGTTTCGCACCAAGAGCCTTGTAGCATAACTGTCTCTGCAGCCTTAATGACCATGGCAAGCACAACTCTAAAATCTGACATCAACCACGACCCTGAACCACCAAATGATTTGATTGAGGATTCTGCAAAACAAGACCCTGGATCCTGCCCCTTTCAGCCTTCAGCCCTACACCCTCAACGTCAAACCCTCCCTAAATCCTAAAGCCGACAGCCTGAAGCATAACCCATGTACTGTAATGTGTAGTTCAAGATGTACTATAATTACTATAATCGGTACACAAACATATATATATATATATATATGTATATATATATATATATATCTAAATATCTATATATATATATATACTATATATATATATATACTACAGGGTGCATCTTGATGGATGCATGGATGGATGGATGGATGGATGGATGGATGGATGGATGGATGGATGGATAGCGACCGGGGTGTGCAGCCATGGGTCAGGCGTCATCCCTCCCGCCGTCGCAGCCCCTCCGCAGTCGTCATCGGGGCTCCAGTTAGAGTTCAGGCTCCCAGCGCCCCGGAGAGAGGCATCCAGAAAAACCGTTCAAGCACACCCATACTCACCATGACCCGCGTCCCCTCTCCGAAGAGATATTGTCTGCTCAGGGCAGGGGCATGTTCAGCAAGACAATCTTGGTTCCTCGCACGGGTGCACTATCCTAGTCATACACCGGAACACCCCCACCTGGCAGACGGAATTGGGAGCGGCCGGGGGTGCACATAGACATATATGTCTATGTATGTGCGTACGTATGCATGTCTGTATGCAAGTGTGTGTGTGTGTGTATGTGTATGCGTGTGTGTGTATGTGTGTATATACATACACATAAGAATATACCGTAAACCATAAACCTACACACTCTATACCCTAAACCCTACACCCCTAAACCCCCAATCCTAAACCCCTACACCCCTAAACCCTAAACTCCTATACCCCTAAACCCTAAACCGCTACACCCTAAATACTAAACCCTAAAGCCCTAAATACTAAACCCCTAAACCCTAAACCCTAAACCCTAAACCCCTAAACCCCTAAATCCTAAACCCCTAAACCCTAAACCCCTAAACCCTAAACCCCTAAACCCTAAACCCCTACACCCCGAAATGCTAAACCTAACCTGAGGGGGAGGAATTCAAGGAGCGATGGCTTCCGCGTTTTGCTTCGGATGTCTTCGGCTTGGACGCATGCCTGAGCTTCGGCTGTAGGAGCTTTCGGGTTCAGGGTTTAGGGGTTTTAGGGTTAAGGGTTTAGGGTTTTAGGGCTTAGGGTTGAGGGTTTAGGGTTCAGGGTTTTAGGGTTTTGGGGCTTGGGGTTTAGGGTTTTTTTGGGGCCTTAGGGTTCAGGGCTTTGGGGGTTTAGTATTTAGGGTCTAGGGCTCTGGGGCTTTAGGGCTCAGGGTCTGGGGATTCGTTGTGTCTGTAGGGGCTTTATAGGGGGGTTGACGATTCTTTTGCCTTTTTTTACGGGTTCACAGGGGATTAGAGGGATGTAGTTCGGCTTCGGGGTTGCAGGTGTGCGTAAGCCTACATATACCTAGGTGCCCCGAAAATACATGTTCAGGCTATTGCGGGCTCCACATTTCCTCAAACTTCGAAGTATTGGAGAATGATACAGTTCAACCTAAAGGAATAGAAGAAAAAGCTCAGTACAATATCATACACTAAATCCCAAGCCCTAAATGTAAGATCAGACCAGCCAACTCAGGTGTTCGGGATTCCAGGATGTCAAGACGAAGCCCTGGTGTCATGCAAGTGACACCCTAAACCTTTTAAGCTCTAAAGCCTCAAACTCCAAACTCTAAAAAGCAGAAACCTTGAATCCTAGAGTCCCAAAGTCCTAGAGCCTTCAAACCTGAATCCTAAAACCCTTCACCCCCAAAGCGCTTCACAAACCTGATGTGTGACGTGCTCGCCCGCTTTTCGGAGAAGCTTGGGCGAAGAAGAAGCCCTTTCACTCCAACAGGTTCGGTGATCTCTTTGTCAAAGAATGCAACATCTGTGCCTGTGCTACAAGGCCTACACCCGGGATACGCTTCTAAAGGAACATCCTTCTCATCGCGCCTTGAAGTACAACATGGAACCCCAGCACCCCTCATCCGCAAGCACTCTACCAGGCTCTGGGAGCTTACTGCATGCTACCTATAGTCTCCATTGTAGTTCCTTTTTGGGGATACCTTATAAAATCGGTAATATATATTTGGCTAAACCAAAAAGAAGGAACTACTATGGAGACTAAAGGTAAGCCTTCACCTCAAGCGCCTTGTGTAGACCAGGAGCAGCCTGCAGCTTCACGGCAAATTCGACATCCGTGTGTCCAGCGCGGGTCATTTCCTGGGCTTTGAAGTAACCAGGGAGAAAAAAATATGGACTTTTATTTCATAATGGTTCCTTTAAGGAACAAGTCCCAAAAAAGTATTAACGTATGGTACTCCAAAGCCCAGTTTCTGAATCCAGCTCCTCGGGCGTGAGCAAGAAGAAGCTCTGCTGGGAGGCGAAAGTGTAGACATACCTGGCAGAAGAAGGTGTAGGGTTTAGGGAAGGGTTTAGGGTTTAGGGTCTAGGGTTTAGGGTTTGGGGTTAGGGTTTAGGGACACAGAGCAGGCCTCTTCAGGGCATGCACCTTAAACCCGAAATCCTAAACGCCAAATCCTTCAGTTGCGAAACACTATGTAACCCTAAACCCTAAACCCGAAACCCAAAACCCTAAATCTTTTAATTGCGAAACCATAACCCTAAACCTTAAACCCGAAACCCAAAGCCAAAACCCTAAATCTTTTACTTGCGAAACAATAACTCCAAACCTTAAGCCAAGAGGGACCTCAAGTCGGAGAGCATGGAGGGCAAACATATCGAGGTGGTCTACGACGTCTACGAGGAATTATATAGGGGCCTTTGTAATTAGAATAGGGATTTGGGACTCCTTTAAAGGGTTGCTTAAAGGGTTCTATAAGGGCCACTATATTATATGGTTTAGGGTTTAGGGGCCTCAACAATTAGAATAGGGTTTTGGGGTATATCCTACTATAACCATGATAAGGAAACCCCTGAACACGAAACCGCAAACCCTACACCCTAAACCGCAAACCCTACATGCTTTCTTCCCAGCGCCCGAGCCTGCCAAACGGTCCTAAGTACCTATCTAGTCTATGTCGAGTATCTATTATCGGAAGTACTACTACGGTTTGGGCAAGTATCCCCCTCATGGGCCCTAAAGCCTGAACCCTAAACTTGCCCTAAACCCTAAACCCCAAACACATGGTCTAGCAAGTAAGTAGCTACTTCAGGGCCTTTTTGGCCTCCACATGGGAATTTCAGAAAACTAGGGTACCTGATTCTGGGCTCCTTATAATAAGGATTCTACTACTTAGGGTCCTATACCAGAGTCCCTTATTTTCTGAGACTCCCACATCTTCCGAGCCTGCATGCGATCACGTCTGCCCTTGTGGGCATGTGCTGTGCAGCTTCGGTCTCATGGTCGTCCTCTTGGGGGGCGCCCTTAAAGGAGGGCTCGGGGCTTAGGGTTTGGGGTTTGGGGGTTTAGGGTTTGGGGTTTAGGAGTATTGGGGTCTGAAGGGTTAGGGCCTCTGGGTTAGAGTGGGTGTTTGAAGGCTGCTAAGGCTTCCAGGTTAATGGCTGCTAAGGCTTCCAGGTTAAGGTCAGATATACGAAATTCCTAGACCCTGAACCCGAACCCTAAACCCCAAGGCCCCTAAAGCCCAGCCCCCCCCTAGAACCTAAACCCCCTTACCCTTAGCCCATTTTTTGGGTTTAAGGTTTTCGGTCAAGGGTTTCGGCCTTAGAGGGTTTCGGCATTAGGGGGTTTCGGCCGTAGGGGTTTCGGCCTTAGGGGTTTCGGTCTTAGGGGTTTACGCTTTGGGCTCGCACGTCGCTAGGGTGTAGAGCGGCCCGAGTTTCCCGAGCTACCATTAGAAGTCTTCGAATATCAAGCACCAGCTATCTTTCGAGGAGTTTTGGCTCCAGGTGCCTAAACCCCAAACTGCAAACGTCCAAACCTTGCAACTGTAACTCCAAATACCCTCATCCCTACATTATATCCTAAAGTCCGAGGTCCTAGAACTGTGACGGCTAAACACTGCAAAGCACCCACGTTTTCATTTTTCATGGCTTTGGAGCACGCGAACTACTCGCTGCATGCGTGACGCTTCCAAACTCCTTTGATTACACAGCTTCTCGCAGCAGGAAGGGAAGGAACGACATGTCGAGTCGTCGTATTGCCACCCGACAAGCAAACTCAATGTGTTTCCGAACACGGTGCTTAAAGTCATGCATGCGTGTGCTTGCGCATTCGAGAAAATGTACAGAAACCATAGGTCCAACACCCCACAGCCCTAAACTGAAAGTCCTCCACCGACATCGATGCTGGCATCGTGTGGCTAAGTCGGAAGGTCTTTGCGTCGTCGACCTCGCGTATCTCTTTTGGAAAGGGGCTTCCAGTTTTTACACATAGGCCCCCTAGTAGTCCTTTTTTGTGGCTTATATTTAGGATCCTATTTGGTAATCCCAAAAAACAACTACTACGGGGCCTATGGGTCAGGCTTGGGCATGCTTGGGGTTTACAGCATTTCGTTTCGGGTGCATAGCGCCATGACGTCACGAAAGGGAGCCTTGTCTCAAAGAGCGCCGTCACGATAAGTGGCAGTGGAACAAGGAAAGCAGCCCTGAAGCTCAAAGCCACCAACCCTGAATCCGAAAATCATGAAGCGTCCAATCCGAAACCCCCATGCTCCTCATCTCTCAAATCTCCTCCGAGCCCGTAAGCCGCGAATCTCGTCCTACACCCTCAGGGCTCACGGCTAAGAGTTTAGGGTTCTCTAGGGCTCAGAGTCTAGAGTTACTTTTGTTCGAGTTCCTAAACCCTAAACCCTAAACCCCTAAACCCTCTTCCCGTGGCCACTACCGTCAGAGATCAGTTTTAAGCTTTTTGACTAGAGAGCGTCGGAGCAGAGTGATGAAGGGGATAGAGCTTGGTAAAATTATACCTGGGTTCAGGGTTTAGGGTTTAGGGGTTTAGGGTTTAAGGTTTAGGGTTTAGGGTATACTGGTTGAGGGTTTAGGGTATACTACTTTTTACTATTCAGGCCCCTAAATTTTGGGTTGTCTTGTGGGAATGTTGAGGCCACATCAAGAGCCCTGTTACCTGCAGAATACTGGGCCAAACCTTAAAACCCTTGCAGGAACCCAAAACCCTAAATCCAAAAACCTATAAGCCCTAAAACCGTGAAGGAACCCTAAAACCCTAAATCTTAAACCCTAAAAGTCATCCCCTGACCCTAAACCGTCGAACCCCCAACGTTAAATCCTAGACCCTGAAACTTTCAACCCCTGGCCCCAAAGGAACCCCCAAAACCTTGAATCCAACACCCTAAAACCCTCAAACCCTGGCCACCTCGAAGTTCTCGGGGTTGTCGTCCGCGGAGGACTCCCGAGGACAGAAGCGCTCGACGGCCAAGGCATATGGAATGGCCAAAGGGTCCTGTTGAAGAGGGTTTGGGGTTTAGGGTTTAGGGATGTAAAGGGTTTTTGGGTCGTGGGCAGGGAAGTGGTTGCTTTAGGGTGTATTGTGCTTTCGAGTTTAGGGAGTTTTTTGGAGGTCTTGTATTGAGGCATAATTGGCAAGCTTGTTTTGAGTTCTGAGTTAGGGCAAGTCCGTTCATTGTGTCTTAGAAGGTGGCAGAACGACCTAGACCCCCGATAAGCTAATGTTGACCAATGCTTTCGGGAGCTAGCTGGGCGCGGACGTGTTTCGAAGACTGTCTCCTTAGCACGGCATCCAAAACCCTACGATTACTGTAGAGCGTTTTTTTTTTTGGGATTTGCACTTAGTCTTGTACTTTTGGGGGGTGCGGGTTCCGACTGTGCACCTACAAGAATCCACCGCAACAAAATACCCCTTGTGAGTAAAATTTAAAGGGAGCACCGTGGTACTCCCTTTCAAATACCAACACCCTCAGCCTCAGCACAACCCTTATGAAGTCTACTGTACTTCTACTCAGTGTCTCGGATTTGAATATTTATTGTATGCGGAATCCGATGCCCAAAACCTGAAAGCCCAAGCCATAAGCCTGAAACCAAGCGCCGTAAGTCAAAATCTTACTCCAAAATCGGATGAACCTTATATGCCCTAAACCCTACCCTAAACCGTCAGTTGCCTGCACCACACGGAAACACCAGTCGAGGAGTACAGCGAAGGGCAGCCGCTGCTCAACCTTTGCTGATTTCCGAAACCCTCCTAGAAGTTATCCATGTAGCCTTCCTTCGTAGCCGCTCATGGGGAAATCCAAGACGATAAAGTCCCTAAGCCCTATACGCCCTAAACCAAACACAAAAGCCTAAACCGAACAGAAAGCCCTAAGCCCCTAAAGACAACCTAAACTCGAACGAGAGCCAAGCAACGCTGCCCGGGATTTTGGCACCTGCGCCAGCATTCCGCTGGGCATGGGCAGTAGCAGACCTTGCAACAAAGAGGGAACCTGGGTGTCTTAGAGGGCATTACAGGGTCCTAAACCCTAACCTAACCCTATACCCTCATTATAGGGTTGTCTCGGGTCTGAGTTTTATAGGGGTTTGCTGGGTTCTGTAGTGTCTGCCGAGGTTCATATATACGGCTTTAGCCAAGACACCTGCCCAAACCTTAAACTCTAAACCCTAAACCTTACTATAGGGGCCTAAATAGTTTCTATTTTGGGGGGTTCCTCGTCATTATGATTGTAGCATGACATACCCCCCAACCCTATTCTAAGTGAGCCGCAAATTGGGATCCCTGTCATATAAGCCTGGACCCCCTTTCCAGGTGGGTTTAGCGATCACGGGTTTGCTTTTCCAAAGGGTCCTAAGTCCAAAACAGTAGAGTCAAGTCTATAGAAGGAATTATATACTAGTATGGTTTGGCAAGTACCACC